TAACTCATTTAACAGTAGGTTGGACAAACTCCTCCATTTCAGAGAAGGTCCTGCCCCAAACCAGAAGGAAGGGATGCATACTCAGAGAAGCCCAGAAGAATCCAGACAGACAGGCCTTGCTGGGTTTCCCCAGTCAGATTATTAGCATGAGATCATACCAGTTTTGTCTAATCATATTTCTCTGTGGCTGTCCATAGTTTTTTGAACCCAAGCATAAAAATGGAAAATTTCCTCTGTATTTTTCGGTCTTCATTCTGAAGGCTCCTGTTCATTCACATTAAATAAATTTGTGTGCCTTTTCTCCAGTTAGCCTTTGTGAACTGATTTTTCAGCAAACCTTCTATAGAAAGTAGAGTTCATGTGTTCTATTTAACAATCCATAAAGTCCCAAGTTATTTGTGTTCTACAATTGACCTATTTTCACAGAATTATATGTGTCAGAGGAAAAAAGAAAGCAGAGTGATATAATAGAAGGTACATGTGGTTTGGTTTAGAATCTGTTCTGAACTTTTGGCTCCTCTACCTATTATCTAAGGGACCTTATACAAGGCACTTACGCTCTCGAAGCCTCAGCTTCTACCTCTTTGGAGTTCACAAAAGAATACCTCTCACAGCTGAGAAAATGAAGTGTGACAATGTACGTGATTCTCTCAGCATGTGGAAGGCCAGTTAATATTGAAAAGCCCCAGGACAGATCAGCTGATCTTATCACCTTGGCTCAGAAATAACACCTTCCATTTGAAACCTGTTCCTCCTCTTGGATTTTCTTGCAAGTGAACACCATGTAAATCCGCCCCAGAAACCCAGGACACATCCTTTTCTCTCACCCTCCATGATCAAGTCATATAAACTCTAGTCTCTAAATAGATCTTAAATCTGTGGATGGGTTGCCTTTCTCAACCTCTTTCACTATCCAAGATCACCAGCCTCTCTAGCTTAGATGCTCCTCTTCACTGAGTTTCCTGTCTCAGCTTTGTTGCCCTCCCATCCATCACCAGCCAAGCAGATCTTACTGTCTCAGCTCTTCAGTCATCCTCTTACATCAGGAAAAGCTCACCCAATTTCTTAACATGACCTGTAACACACTTCATGATCAACATTGCTTACTTCCCAGGCTTCTCTCTTGCTTCTCCTCTGTTCCCTTCTGGCCCAGCAGTTGAAAGAAACTACCCTTCATTTAGGACTTGTATCTCTCAGACATACTCCCTTTCACCTCCAGACACAGGCTGCTGCACGTTTGTGCTTCCTCCTGGATGGACTGCTCTTTTTCCAAGGCTTCTCTTCACTTGGGCAACAACTAATCAAAACTGAGGCCTTGGCACAGATAACACTTTGTCACTTGATGGTATCCCAAGTATGTAGAATTGGCTGTAACATGTATTTCATGCCACAGGAGTCTGGATTGCTGAGAGTCACACAGGTTGGAGGTGGTGGTGTGAGGAGAAGACACAGGCCTCCTGCCATGTGTTGTGGTGTCCCTCCTCCTCCATCATGCTGATGTCAGGCCTATTCATCTCCATTGCATTTGCTCTCTTCGTTAAGACTTAAAAACATTATTTTCATGTGTGTTCAAAATGTTGTACATTGATTGTGGGTTATGGGTTTAGTACCTACAACAAACCCAGTGTCACTTCCTCTCCAAAGCCTTCTTTGACTCTCCTTGTCAGTGGAAGTCATGGCTTCTGTGCTCTTGTGGCACTTGCAAACATTCCTGCAAGATTTTTCATACTTATCTCCTTCCCATGATGTTATGAATGGTTCTGAAACAAGGACTACTCTGGATTCATTTTACATCTCTGGTACCCAGGACTGTTCTTGGGACAGACAACCACTGAGTTATTTGTTGAACTTAATTCCACTCCAGAGCTGAAAAAAAAAAACTGAATGAGGGCAACCAAAGACATGCCACACACAAACACACAGAAAAAGATGCAAGTATGAAAAAAGAAAAACTAAGATCATGGCTCTGCCTTCTGGAGATACGGAGTTTAAGAAAAGGCCTGGCTCTGGCTAACATAAAGACCAAGAAGGCAATAGAGAAGTTGGTGCAACTATAGGAAAAGATGTCCACTCCAGGTGAGTACCAGCAATCCTTCAGTGGCCCTCCTGCATCTTTGAATTCAGGATGGAGAACTGGAATTGGGAAGGAAGACACTCTCACTTTCATAGAGCTGGACAACTAAGTGCACTTTCTATGGTCTGGAAGCCCAATATCAGCGCTAGAAAAGCTGGTTTCACAATGTTACAGGTTTTTAAAATGACAGGATTAAAGTCATCCAATTGTGATAGAAATGAAACTAAGCCTGGGACAGGAATCTAACTATTAGTCCTGGTTTTCTCCTGGGCCTTGGGCAAATCTCTGAATTTAATTCCCTCCTCCACAAAATAAGAGGTTTGAACTAGGTGATCTCCAAGGATGTTTTCTGGTTCAGGAAATCTGCAATTTATGGGCTTGATGCAGGGATTTACGTAAAGTACCTACATAGCCAAGGGTGAGAAGACAGTCAGTCTCATTAATGTATGTACAGCAGACATTCAAACTCTTCATTTTCTTTCTTTACTTGATCTGGACTAGCAGAAGCACACAGGCATGATTACATCCCTTCATCCATACATGGTAAGCAGCACAGCCAAAACCTTCTTTAACAAAAACTTGGAGATGCAGTGAAGCTGTGAAGCAGGAGTTTTCAAAATATCATAAGCAATGAGGCAGTTTTTTGAAAACACAAGTTCCAAGGCCTTGCTGCAGATCTGCTGCTAAATCGGGATCTCCAAGATAGAGCCCTAGAAATGGTATTTTTTATACAGCTCCCCTTTGATTTTGATTTGGCGATCATTTTTAAAGGAAAATTTGTGTTTCTCAAGGAGTAGCTTATGAATTACTTTCATATGAGTTATCTAAGATGCTTGTTAATAGCTGGAAGTGTGACCAAGAATCTGCATTATAACAATTCTTCCAGTGACTTTATAAACACCAATATCATCCATAATATAGTGTATATATGTTTACGAATAAAATCTTTACAAGGACAAAACCTCATGATCTAGAACACAATTTAGTAAAGATAGGAAATCATGATTGCAGTATAGGTTAATGTCATTGTTAATACTTAAATTTTTCATTTCCTTTAAGCTCCAAGACAATCCTGTGATATCAGAATGGTTACCCTAATTTTACTGACAAACCGAAGTGTTAGGAAGTTCAGGCAACTTACCCGGAATTACAAGATAAATAAATGTATGCATTAAAACTGAAAACGAATGCCACAAAGCTATGAAACAGCCTATATTGCTGCAAAATGTGTAGTTAAGCACTTAATACACCTTTTAATTAAACAATTGCTGAGGTCTTATCTGATGAAGCAAGATAAAATACATCTCAGTTCCTGTTGGTTCGTTTTATTAGCTGCTACACAAATGTTAATGTCATATAATAATCAAGATAAAGTGACTGTTTACTAAGCAGCAATAGTTCAGTGATTTCCTGGAATCATAAAATGATCTAAGGTAGTCATCATTTTAGTCAACAACCCTCAAACACAAATATTTATAGTTGTGAAGCCCAGAATTGTGCTGTCCGAGGTCTTATACAGCTAGTTAGGAGCCCACTCAGCTCCAGACCTTAGTTGCATGACTTTGTTTTACTGATCTTCTTTACACTGGGGTCCCCAATCCCTAGGCCAATCCATGGCCTGGTACCAATCCACAGCCTGTTAGTAACTGGGCCACACAACAGGAGGTGAGCAACAGCTGAGTAAGCAAAGCTTCATCTGTATTTACAGCCACTCCACATCACTCACATTACCACTTGAGCTTTGTCTCCTGTCAGACTAGTGGTGGCATTAGATTCTCATAGGAGCGTGAACCTATTGTGAACTGCACATGTGAGGGATCTAGGTTGTATGATTCTTATGAAAATCTAATGCCTGATGACCTGTCACTGTCTCCCATCAACCCCAGGTGGGACCATCTAGTTGCAGGAAAACAAGCTCAGGGCTCCCACTCATTCTATATGATGATAAACTATATAATTATTTCATTATATATTATAATGTAATAATAACATAAATAACATGCACAATAAATGTAATGTGCTTGAATCATCTCGAAACCGTCCTTACCCTCTCCAACCCCAAGTCTGTAGAAAAATTGTTTTCCGTAAAGCCAGTCCCTGGTACCAAAAATGGCTGGGGACTGCTGCTTTACACCATTGACTCTGTGTTCTTAAATTCAATATACTGATTATTTGCTTCAGTGTTACAATAACACTTCATTAGACATGAAGATTTTTTTCAGGGAATAAAACATAAAATGCTATCACTACAGATACATTTTTAGGACAAAGTTTGCTTTTTTTCTTTTTTCACTTATGAGTTCTTCTAAATTAATCTAATAAAATATTCATAAAAATGTGTGCTTATCTTTAACTCTGGTAAATTAAAAGAAAAAGTCTCCCAGATTCCTCATTCTTGAGTTGATCAATTTCAGATATAGGATGATAAATAATAGGCCTTTCATAATTATTATGAAACTGCATGGACCTTAGCTATTATGAGACCTAGCTTTGATTTTTTAAAAAATTTCAGTAAAAGTGGTCATATAAAATCTATATTAACTTTTAACAGAATACAGATTCTCCCTTTTCCTGTGGACCTTTTTGTCTTTTTTCTCATTGATATGACAAACTTTCTAAAATATATGGACATACATATATTTTCACAAAAGGAAAAAAGGCATCATCAAAGAGAAATTTCCAAAGAATAAACCAAATATTTATGAGCTATAGATAGATTTGGTGACGGTTTTCTAATTTAGGCTTTGGTTTATTTATTTTGTTGTTTGAGGAGTGGTAGATTTTTGCACATGTATTACTCTCATTCAAATTTTGCATACCACTTCAGAGTAAATATCCATTTCCTGTCAAGTGTTTTATGGTAGGAACGATTTCTTTCACAACATCAATATATAATTTCCTAAATAAAGAAGAAAAGGATACTTACAAATCTCTGCTTAAAATATGTTGTTTTTTTCTGAGACAGGTTTAAGAAGAAATTCTGGTTAACTTTCTTTCCTGAAAATTAAAAAAAAAAATACTGTGAAAAACCAGAAAAGGTAGCAATTCGGTTAATTAATCAAATTTTAATTATTTTTTGGCTTTTTAAAACATTTAGTCAAAACTGATAAACACTATGACTTGCCTGACTTTCTTGGGAAAAGCAGAACCTTTAATTCAATCGTAAAGTTTTCTGTTAAAAGTCAAAAGGGCTTTATTTAAAATAACAGTTATTAGTTCTTAGGATCATGAGCTACAAAATCCAGTAAATAATTGCTGCATTGATGCTGTTAGGGATCAATGTCAGGTTGAGAAAATCATCATGTAAAAACAACTGATCATTACAGGAAACATTTGTAGCCACATCAAAATAATTGTAGGAGAATACTTGGCATCATACCACCTTTGGAAGTTTGTAGAAATACATCACACGTTGAGTATATAATTACAGAGAATCTTGTGCACCCTTCGTAAGTGTCCTGAAGAATTGTACCAACATTCCCAGTTCCCACATAAGGATCATGTCAAAGGAATCTAATCATCTTGCTCTTGGAAATAAAAATAATCTACCTATGCATAATTCCTACTCACAGAATAGGCTTTATATTTCAGGGCTTGGCATCTGGCATAAAACGGGTGAAAAATAGGCTGGGCGCGGTGGCTCATGCCTGTAATCCCAGCACTTTGGGAGGCTGAGGCAGGCGGATCACGAGGTCAGGGGATGGAGACCATTCTGGCCAACATGGTAAAACTCCGTCTCTACTAAAATACAAAAAATTAGCCGGGTGTGGTGGCACATGTCTGTAGTCCCAGCTACTTGGGGTCCTGAGGCAGGGGAATTGCTTGAACCAGGAGGTGGAGGTTCCAGTGAGCCAGGATTGCACCACTGCACTCCAGGTTGGCATCAGAGAAAGACTCCATCTCAAAAAACAACAACAACAACAAAAAGAACAGAAGGGTGAAAAGTAATGGGAGTATGAACCATCAGTATGCACATTAACCACTGGTAGCAATAAGGCACTTTGCAAATTCCTTTCACCACACTCTCCCTGCCTTAGTTCAACCTCCCTTTCACTATTCCTGGGCTGTGGCAACAACGTCCTAATGATTTTCTTGTATGCATTCGTGATTCTTGCAAATTCATCCTTTACACAAGTATCAGGTGGAATTATTTCAAAGTAAATATAGTCATAATTATTCTATAATTAACGTTTATTAGCTTACCTATCACCTACAATATCAAGAGTCCACATCCCTTCACGTGGTACATGATGCCCTCCAAGAACTAGCCCCACTCTACTTCTCCCTTTTCACTCATGCCCAACCTGCACGAATCCTAGAGCTCCACAGTCACACTCCCCCAGTAGAATTCTGTGCTTTCTTTCTGTAGCTCCTATGGCTGAGTTTCTTTGCCTTCAATCTCCTCCCCATCCCCTTGCTAGTATGTCTTCTTCATCTACTCTGGGTCAACTTGGGCAACACTTTTCAGAGCCTTCTATGCCTCCCTCAGTCTAGGCAGGTTCCTCCCTGTGTGCTTTAAAACATCCTGGTATATATCTGTCTTTGTGCTTATCACATGCATTACACATTTTGGATTAGTGTCTGCCTTCCTGTTGCAAACACATTTTTTTAAGCCTTTTGAGGGCACGGACTGTGACTCATTTGTCTTGTCCCCAGCGCAGTGTCTCACAGATGGTAGGAGGAGTGCAATAAATATCTGTTGAATGTCAAGGTGCATTAGGTGTTTTTCAGACTTAGCGCTGCCTGAATGCATATTTTATCACCTTGGAAGAATTTTAAAATCAAAAGCAGACATCATTTTAACCTTGTTCCCATACTCAGGTTCTCAAATGATCTTTGCTCTTCCCCTCATTCTTTCCCTTGGACTTTTTCCTTCAATAAGTCCTATATGTCCAGAGCAAATATAAGGAACTAAGAAGAGGAAGTGAAATATAAATGAAGAATGATGATACAGAAAGTAGTAAAAAGATAAAAAACTGGTAAACTTCAAAACTTATATAATGTAATGTAAATATGGACTCCTAAATGACACGATGAAGGAAACAAAGTTTTGTAGTACTAATTTTTTTAACCATTTGGACACAGTTCTTGGCAAAGGTCTAGTAAAAACTATAAATAAAGTCTTAAATACTAAACATTGCTATTTGCATTTTTAAAATGCATGTTTAAAATATCCCTATAATTTTATACCCTTTCCATGGTTAATTTTTTTTTTATTTTACAGAAATTCACCTATCCCTGTCTATTGCAATATAACCAAAAAAATAAAAAATAAAAAAAATAAATAAAAGAAAGAAAGAAAGAAAGAGGAGTGAAATAGTTATTCTTTTCCTCTCCACTTCTTTGCAGTTTATGTTACATACAAATATGCCTATATGGTGGACTTTGAAAATATTCCATCCATATTTTTTTATTACTGACATACATAAAAATTCAGATTTAATGAGGATATGCTTAACACAAAAATACTAAAGGTTAAGAAACTGTCAGAGTCTACTCATCTTTTAAAATATCAATTATCAAATATTTTATTAACAAAAGTGCAGTAATTCTTGAAAAGGTTTCAAGAAGAGTAACATGCCCCTAACAAATACAAAAATAATTTTTGTATGTCCATATCTCCTATATATAAATATTTATCCTGTAAATTATTTCTATACTAATAGTCTATTATAACGTATTTGCTATATTATAATTATTATAAATGTCACATTAACATACAGTAAAAATAAAATATAAATAGGTATAATTAGATGTTTTCTCTCTCTCTCTCTCACTCTCTCTCTCCAGCTAATTATAACCTCCGCCTCAGTTCAAACAATTCTCTTGCCTCAGCCTCCCCAGTAGCTGGGGCTACAGGTGCACACCGCTACGTCTGGTGTTTCAGTAGAGAGGGTTTCACAGTGTTTCCCAGACTAGTAGCGAACTCCTGAGCTCAGGCAATCTGTCCGCCTCGCCCTCCCAAAGTGCTGGGATTATAGGCGTGAGCCACCAGGCCTAGCCAGAATATTTTCTTCCTCAGTTAATCCCTTAGCAGAAGGCCTATGTTCAAAATGGAGACAAGCAGAACTCTCTGGGTACCTCGGGTTTCAAAGTCTGATGCTCTATCCACTCTCCCTCCCTCCTACTCCTCTTCTCCCCTCAGGCAAAACTACATGTCAACACTGACACTTTAGAGCTGAGGCTACCAGGCTGGAGATGGAACTGTAGGAGCATTTCAAGAAAGATGTAATAACCTAGCAAAAAATATTAATCTTGGTGCTTGTCCATCCTCCTTTTCGATGGATTATCAGTCCTTGTTGCAGGGACTGGTGTCTCTGCATGTCCCAAGCTGACCCCAGTTGTAAATATAAATACTTAAACTATGAACTGATAGGATTTATGGTAGTTTTTGGTACTAGGGTTTGGTAAAATAATAAATTTTATTTTTTCTTCCAAATATGTGTTTTCTATCTTGAGTTTTAATTACTCAATCAGCCAACCATGTTAATATGCAAATAATATGCATAAAGGAGAAGACTCTATCAGATCTCAAGCACAAAATTTCAGGGGGTACCCAAAACCTCAGAAATCAAGATAAATAACATGTAAACACCAAACATTTTAAAAATAAAAATTTATGCAATGATCTATGATGAACAAAATATCAAAATTTTAAATATAGATTTAACCCTGAATTTGTATAACTTAGCCTTATATATCTCACCTGGTTCAATGACTTCTCTGAAAAATGAATTGTAAATATAAAAATCATGTCAGGATAGTTACATTATGCAAATTTCTGCCTCAAAACACCAAGGACTGTAGAGGGAGAAGCAAATGTAGTTTGGAGGACAAAGTCCAGTCAAAGGCATGTTCTGGTAAAGGTTTTATACTTTGGTCTGTAAGACTGGGGATCAGGTTTAGTTGCTTGGGAACAAATAGGCAACTAGACAGCTATAACACATGAGATAAGACCTAGCCTATGCTTTCATTTAAACTATTTTACAATGTCAATGAGCAACTAAATCTAGTTATAGCTGCTTCAATAAGTATTCTTTTAATATATTTTTTAAAGGCATGGCATAGTTCTAAAATATATAAAAACCTCAAAGTTAAAATGTATCTAGTCACCATCATCTGACTGTGTGAAGCAAATTAACCATTTCAACTGTAAGACTTAGTTTTAAAAGCCTACTCTTAAGAAGATGCATTTAACCTCTCAAGCAGTTCAATGGTGAAAACAATTATCACAGAGATGAATCATGATGACATTAAAAAGAATGAGCATTCATGAAGATGTTTCCTGCCCACCAACTCAAATGAACTATCTTAGGAGAATGAATGATTCTGCCTGATACATAGTAAGCACTCAGCATATACACAATGAATGAATGAAATAATAAAAGTTGAAAGATGTCTGGAAACAGGTATACTAGGACTAGATGATAAAGAACACTGAAATAGAGACTTCATGCTGTGGGCATTGAGCAAAGGTTTGACAAGGTTTAACAATAACAACAGCAACAAATGTGATTCCTTACAAGAAAGAATGGGTGATGGGTGGATTGATAGTAAGCAAATAGCAAATCTAGCAAAAGTTTTTAGAAATAGCCGTGGCAATGGGCAATAAGGACCCAGTAAGGGATGAAGGCTATAAAAGTGGAGGAAGACAAGTGTAGGGAATACTGCTGGCTAGCTGCAATTTGCTCCTCTCTCCCCTCTATAAAATAGAAACTTAGCTGGTTTCATAGTCACAGACAGTATTACTAAGCCTTCCATGCTGCTAGGTCATGCAGCTGGATTTCTTCATTAACTATGGCTATATGCAGAAGTTATATATTCCACTTCCAGGTTATATACTGAAAGAGAAGGGAATGTGATCTCTCCCTCCTCTTTTGCTCTTTCTGAAAACTGGGCTGCATCTGTGGTTATGAGTCATGCTCCATGATGTGGACAAACACTATACCCTGGAGATGTCAAAGCAGCTAGATGGAAGGGGCCTGCATCCCTAACAT